TACTCTCTGTATTTGCTTTAGTTTAGTAGATATCTACAAAGAGTCGATATTTTTCTAAAACCATTTAGTGCTTCACATAATAAAATACACAACGGCTGTAGCCTGTTTTAGGAGGTTGTAGGTGCGTGCATAGCCGTGGGAACATGTTTCAAATGGGGGGTGCTGTGGGGATGACACCAGTTCTGACCAATTTGCTGCCATAGGCAAGATTTTAGCTGGCAATTAAAAAACTATCACCAATACACTACAAAAATATAAACGTATTGACATGGTGGGCAGCTTATATAAAAAGGCTTCAAATGTATTTAGTATTGTATGAACATGTTTTAATTGGAGGGTGGACTTCACATCCTCTGGGGGGGTCCGGGGGAGCCCCCCCGCAAAGATTTATTTTAACATTTTAAAGTAAAATGCTTCAATTACAAGAGACTGATCTAGGGGGTACAACTCTAAAACACCCATGTGAAAAAGATCGGTTTGCATTTTATTAATCAAATAAGTATGTGAACAGAACCAATAACCTACCATCGCCAATAACAAATACATGTAGGCTAACTTATTTTATTTTTGTGGTTCATTTATATCTTATTTTATCATTTAATATTTATTTATGCATATTTTTAAATCGCTCCAGTTTTAAACAATATGTTTGGCTACTGTATATATAGTATGCAACACACAATACTGTTTTTATTTATCCTAATAATTATAAAGGTGTGTCTTGGAAATATTTGTTTACATAAACTGTGATCAAAACGTNGAGTACAAATACTTCGTTACTGTACTGTACTTAAGTACATTTTTCTGGTATCAGTACTTGCTTATTGCTGCTTATTTTTCTGGCGACTTTTTACTTTTACTTCTTACATTTTTAACACAAATACCTGTACTTTCTACTTCTTACATTTTCAAAACAGGTTTGTTACTTTAGTTTTAATCTGCGTTTGGTGGCGTGATCATTACTATTTAGAGTCATTGCGTGCCTATTGATTTGAACACAATCCGTGTATCCATCATTTCCTGGTCTTCTCTAAACAAGAGGGACCAATGAGAACTTTGTCAGCTTGCCGTTGTTCATTATGGAAACATTAATTAGCTAACAATGACATTATTGTTCTTTTAATATAAAGGGAGGTCAGTTACTCTTTAAACAGATAGTAGTTATAGGTGCTTTTTACTTAAGTACATTTCGAAGCCCATACTTTACTTTTACTTGAGTAAAGAAGTTTAGTCTGTACTTCTACTTTTACCAGAGTATTTTTAAACACGAGTATCTGTACTTCTACTTGAGTAAAGGATGGTGTACTTTTGCCATCCATGTAACCATGCCATCAAACAATCAAGATTCCCTAATACTAAATCCCCCTTTCCCTCCCAGAATCCACTACAGTTTGGGGACTCAGACTGTGATACGTCTGAAGCAGAGTGCTCCGATGCCACCATCAGAAACAACAAAGCCCCTTCCTCGTGGTGAAACCCGCCCCCCAGGGCTTCAGCTTCTTTTTCATGCCTTGAGGCCCTCGGGTCCCACTCTGCCCCGCAGAAGATACAGCAATAAGAGGACGACATTGTAAACAAAGCTCCTTAAAGCAAAGCCCCATGCAATCTCTCCCAGAAAAAAAAGTTCCCTCTCATCTCTAGCTCAGCATCCAGGGATCCCCCTTTTGAATGATAATGTACAGTAGAACATTCATAATTTATTTTTGTCTGAGTTTTGAAGGAAAATCTGTAAATTCTCTGAATCTGAACAGATAAAAAAAAAAAAGGACATTTTGAAAACTGAGCATGGGCTTTGTATGATGATGATCCGAAATACCCAACCAACAAGAACCTCCCCTTCTTACTAAAGATCTACCTGCTTCATGATGAGCCCTGGTACCCTGCCTCTCCAACTTCCATCCCCTCCCCACCATGATGAGTGAGGAATGGGGAGCTTATAAAAACACCAGCATGAACAACCTGCTTAGCAACCGGACTCCTAGAAACCATGTGTCCCCTCTGTCACCAGGGTCTCCTCTCTACTGTCCAGCATGCCTGTGCAGCGCGCAAAAAATGCACAACGCTGCCAGAGGACTGCATGAAGTGCACAAGCTCTCAGTGCAACGAAGACAGACAGTTAAGGAGATCATAAAAAAAAAAGAAACTTCCTCACACAGCTCATCCTCTTCGAGACATTGTCATCATCAATCAGGAGTTGTGAGATGTTTAGGGAGGTTTCAGTGTGTATGAAAACAGCCCTTTCCTTCTCCATTAGACATTACAGTTTCAAGTCTCATCTCAGGATTGTTCGAGGACTGTGAGAAACTGTACTGGACCAAATATTGTGTAGGGATCCTCTTTAAGCGGCACATACTACGGACCATATAGGAATATTAAAAAAGGGTCCTACAGATAGCCTTGATGTTCAACCTTTTATTGCTGACGTTAAATGTAATGTAGAGAAGTAGAGCGTTTAATTTGCTTTCCAGGTGCAGTATCCCATTTCTTGAAATCCCTAGGTGCAGCAGTTCCAATTTACCATTTTTCTAGCAGGTTAAAACAAATTGCTTTCTGTGCTGTCATGGATGAAACAGCAATAATGTAGGTTGGCGCTCAGGTGAGGAAGAAGGTACTTGCTCAGGATCCGGGGCGTCTAGCAGGCTAGATACAAGAGTAAAACAGCTTAGTATGGATGCTATGTTTTTAAATTGTCCACTTTTTATGAACTCACTTTTAATGCTCAGGGTTTGTGTTGTTGAGAGCAGAAGCAATATATCAACAGCCACTAGATGGCAGCATTTAAAAACGGCTTACTTTTTCTTGTGTTTTGTAAATGTCCTTTAAAAGTTCCCTCCACCGTCCGAAATGTAGAATCCCAGCAATATCACTATTCTTGCCTCTGAAAAGGGATACTGCATCTGTGAGAGCTTTTTTTGAAAAATATTTTGTATCCCTATTAGAGTGTTTGTCATCCTTAAGGATTCTGCGTTTGAAAAATAGCCAGCCAGGGTTGAATTTAACGTTAAAGATGTCAAGATGTCAGCTCATGTGTACGCTGAATGCCGAGATAAAGTGAGGAATAAAAGCCAGAGACGAGGCCCCGGAGCAATAAAGCTGCTCTTGGTTTTCAACAACCTCATCTCAGTGTTAGTAACTCCTGTTGTATAAACATCTGTAAATGTAATGTAACCTTTCTTTGTCCTCTTCTGTCACTAGGACCAGCGCGACTGGTAAAAAACGAGCAGGAAGTTCTTTTATCTGTGTTGTATCAGTATTGACAGAAGTTTGTGAGTCATGAGAAGCGAGTAGCACAAGGCGAATCTAAAATTGTGCTGATGGATCAATTCCCTTTTTTTGTTACTTAAAGGTAGGGTAGGTAAGAATGGAGAAACCAGCTCGAGTGCGCTAGAATTTGAAAGTTTATGAGAACATCAAACAGGGATGTTAAGAGCATTCCATAGAATATAACAAAAAGTGCTTCTGAAGTGAATTACCTACCCTACCTTTAAAAGCTTTGGAAAGTCTTGGCCCCGCTGCTGCCTTTCCTCGAGCCTCCTTCACCCTCTTCTTCACTCTGTTTACGTTAGTGTGAAATAACCTAGTGTATTATAATGACTGGGTAATCCGATCAATATCCTGTGAAGTATGATTGTTGTTAAGATTTAATTTAATTTTGATATTTTTTCTTTGTAGCTGGCCTACATGATTATTGAATTAATTTATTATGAATGACTGGTAAGGTGTTCTTTAATTTCAGGCAGCTTTAGAAATGTCATGACCCATGATTTCTCCTGAAAAAAAGTATTATTTAAAGGAAGCACAATTAATGGGTATGGGAAGAGGACAGTATGTGTATGGGAGAACAAAAAGCATCGTCATATCATTGGCTTCATTTTTTTATTTGACCTTCCATCAATTACATTATGATTAATTAAGCATCAATCATTCACAACATCAGGCATTCCTAAAGTGTTTTAATCTCAACATAGACACTTCTAGTACAACCAAAAGCAGTTAGTGGACTGTCACAGCAGGGTAAATGAGACGTTAGTCTGAAGACATGTGAGGCCAATTCTGTGCTTCTGCAAAGATCCCTTCTTCTCCTTTTTATTCAAAACACCAGTTACTAACATCTGAATTTCTGTGAGATTGTCTCTAACTGTAGACATCATTTTTGCCTCATCCCATGTATCAAACATCTGTTTCTTTGTTAATCTTATTTCCAACTCCCTTTCCTGTTGAATGGCATTACGATCAACCAATCCTGTCCGTTTCCTGTATTATCCAGTGTACAGTGCAATGGGTATCTGGGAGAAATAAAATCTGAGCAAACAACTGCATGGAATAAATGCTGATGTACTGTACCCAACACACTGTGGTCTGTCTCTTATGTGACTCATCTAATTACATCTGTTAATAATTCCTATTCATTAATAGAATCAGTAAGGTTTGAGATAAATTCCATGAATGCTTCATCTGTATTCAAGGAAGTTACAAATTCTGAGGATTGATCTGAAGTTAAAACTATTAAAATACTTGTTAGTAGGGCAGAGGTGTGCACTTTTGAGAGTAGATATATTTTGTGGCAGATTTAATTTGCTGTCCATTATTACTTTTGCCTGAAAGAAGAGCATTTTATTGACCAGGAAATATATATAATTGCCCTCTTTTTTTCAGTAGACATTTCCAATTCAGTGAAATGACTGAAACCAAGTTCGATAACATACAGTACAGGAAAGTAAAAGGGTTCATTTTGATAAATCAAACGATGTAAACAACATTTTTTTAAAGAAAGAAATAAGCATCATCATGTTGCTATTTTTTATTACATTTACTCTAAGCATAGTAATGTAGGTTTGCTCCTTCACCAAATGCATGTCACTATTAAAATAAGGTCCTGGCATTAAATACGCATTACAAACTTTCAGCACTGAAAAAGCTTGTAAAAGACAGCAGAGGTTTTGGCTGGTCAAAGTAAAAGCACAGGTGTTATTAATTACAATAACAAGGTCTCATTAAGCCATGACAGTGTGACAGTTAGTTAGCATGCTAAAAGAGAGGCAAGAAAATCTCCTTTCCTGCCTTGGTTACAGAACAGGGATGCAAAATGTTTTAGGTATGACATGTTTGTTTTTCACAAGTTTAAAATAGCCTTTGCTTTGTGGAACATACTAATCATATAATAGTATGCTGATCCAGCTTCCCCCCACGTGACTGAAGAGTGGTATGCTCCAAAGTCCTGCAAACACCCCAATAACACCCCCACAGTGGGCCCCCTGATTAGTGCTCTATTAAAGGCAGGTGTGCTATAAAGACCTTCCAATGAGGATGTTAAAAACACATGGACCGACAATTAAAACTAGAGAATGCAATTCCTGAAGAAATTGCTGGTGGGAATGCTTTATGCTGAAAAGCTGACGCTAAACTGATATGCTTTAAAGTATTGTGTAAGAAGAAAGTGAAGAATTTAGAT